TTACCCATCTCTTCCTCCTGCAGAGTCTTTTCACGGCCCTCTCATCATCCTATCAGGCTCATCCTGGGCGGGGTGTGGGGCAGCCATTGCTCACTTTATTGATGGGACCAGTGAGGTCAGAAGAGAAACCATGTGCAGGGGCTCTCACAGCTGCGGAGAGGCAGGCCTGGGGCCCCGATCGCCCTCTCCGATCGCCCTCTCCGAAGCTTGGAGAGGGAGAGAGAGAAGAAAATCTCCATCCCTAAGGGTGAGCAGCGGCTCCACCTCAGCTAGGGCCAGGAAGGAACCCACAGCACAGCTCCAATTCCTTCATGTTACTGCAGGGGAGGTGAGGCACAGAGAGGGGCAGTGACTCGCCCAAGGCCACACAGCAACTTAGTGGCCAAACTGGCGCTCTCTTGCCCAGTTCTGGTCAGACACTGAGGGGGAAGCAAGTCCATCCTTCATCTCTCAGAGCAGAAAGTACAGCACCATCCTCTCGCCTCCCACCTGATGACTGAGGCTCACCAACCAGGGCCTTCCTGGGAGGAATCTCGGGGTGGCTGGGGACGTGGAAGGATGAGGCCCCGGCTCAGTGTGACTTGGCAATGGACTTCCCTTGACAAATGGTGCATGTCACCCAGCAGGCCAGGCTTCCTCCTGACACAGCGCAGCCCGGGGGCAGCTCCAAAAGACGACTTTGGGGAAAAGGAAGTGGCTGTAATAGCTGATGGTAAAAGAAGCCTTCATCCACCAATGAATGGATAAACGAAAAGTGGTATAGCCATACGGTGGATTATTATTCGACATAAAAAGGAATGAAGCACTGATAGAGACGACTTTGGGGAAAAGGAAGTGGCTGTAATAGCTGATGGTAAAAGAGCCTTCATCCACCAATGAATGGATAAATGAAAAGTGGTATAGCCATACGGTGGATTATTATTCGACATAAAAAGGAATGAAGCACTGATACATACTGCGATGTGGATGAACCTTCAAACATGCTGAGTGAAGGAAGCCAGACACAAAAGGCCACATACTGTGTGATTCAGTTTATATGAAATATTCAGAATAGTTAAACTCTTAGAAACATAAAGCAGATGAGTAGTTGGCAGGGGCTGGGGTGAAGGGGAACGTGGAGTGAATGCTAACGGGTGTGGGGTCTCCTCTGGAGGTGATGAAAGTGCTTTGGAACTAGGTAGAGGTGATGGCTGCACAACACTGTATGAACTAAATGCCACTGAACTGTACATTTTAAAGAGTTATGTTATGAGAATTTAGCTTCTAAAGCAGCAGCAGGAGGGAAGGGAAGAGAGTGGGGGAGGGGAGAGTAGCAGCTGTCCACACCGCCCTTGCTTCGAGGCTCCTGTCTAGACAGCAAGCTACGGGTCAGCTTCCTCCTCTCCCAGGGAAAGAGCTGGGGCTGCCTGGGCCTTTTCACATCCCAGGGAAGGGGCCAACATCCCAGGGCCTGCAGTGGGTGCTGCTGTGGGGGCCTGGCCTTGGCCGGGAGGCCTGGAGAACTAAAGCAGTCTCAGGAAGAAGAGCAGCAGGCTTCCCTGGTTCCAAGTGGCCAGCTGGGCCTGGTCTCAGCCAAGGGCAAGGCTGCACTTTGGAAAAATCGTTTGCACAATTCTCCATCTGGATTCCAAAGGCTCTGTTTGTTCATGGTGCTGCAGGGCCACGTGGAAGCGTGATGACCCAGCCTGACCTAGAATACCAGGGCCCAGGAAGCCTTGCAGGCATCCACTCACACCTGAGGCCTCTGCAGAGACCCCACCCCACCCCCTGCCACCGCCACCAGCCTGCCTGACTGAGGGGACCCACTTTCACTACTTTGAGAAGCATTTGTCTCACTGTGGAATAGCTTGGCCTGTTTGAACAGATATCCTCAAATTGAGCCCAAACCAGCCTCCAACCCCTTCTTTAGGCCTGGCTCCCTCCTCTGGGGCCCACACAGAACAAGGTAGCCCATCTTCCTGAAGCAGCCCTCAGAGCTCTGGGCAAAGGCCGAGCAGAGGACTGCTCCCACCCAGGGGCCTGCATCTGGTCCCGCCTGTCATTCCTGCAGGCCCTGGGCAGGTTTCCACACATCTCCAGGCCTCAGTTTCCCAACTCATAAAATGTCCTACCCTCCTTCCAGGGCTATCTTAAGGCTCAGTTGAGACGAGGGGTTGAATATTGCTCAGGGCCAAGCAAAAACCTCCAGGGCAGCAGGAGCTCTTTGGGTCTGATCTTTCTGGAATTTGCCTGTGAAATAAATAACGCCCACTCGCTAAGTCCTAGAAGGCTTGCAGTGACCTCCCACCCTTGGCCCATGGCTGAGCCCCTCGGTATTGACCAAGAAAGAAGGGGCCAGACCTGAAGGGGTGACATTTATTTCTCCGAGGTGAGGAGGGAACGCCAGTCGTCCTGGGTCTGTGGTCACAGGTATTGTTCCATCAGACCTTTTCTTTCTCAATTCCTGGCCCTGGCCCTAGTATTTTCCCCAGAGAAAATACTGTGGCCAGAGACCTGACTAGGAGCCCAGAGCCCTGGGCCTGGTTTTGGCCATGTCTGGCCTCCTCGTCTGTGCAGTATTTTCGGCAGGCAAACATGCGGGCCTGGTCCACTGCTGAGGGACATCACGCTCTCCCCACCCTTCCCATTAGGTGCCCCAATCACTGTGAAGGGCACAAACACTCCACACCTTTCTACCCTTTGGGGTGGGGGACCTCTAAGAGACCGTTCTAGCACCGAGGCTCTGATGCTTGGTTCTCCTGGGCCCTCTGTGTGACCATGGAAACCAGCACTCACTCGCTGGGCCGCCTCGTCCTGAGGCCCCTGGGCACCAGCTTCTCCACTCGCGCTGGGCAGGGAGCGCTGGGGAGGCACGTCTCCCCTGTTACTCCACTGCCTGTCTCCTCTTTGATGAGGTCCAAGGTAAGGGAACCAGCCATTCTCCCCCAGCCCCTGCAGACCCAGCCTTCTCTGCTGAGCCTTGGGAAGCCCCCACCCCTCCCCAGTTTGGGGGTGTATGTGGGGAGCTCTGAGGCTGCGATTCCTTTGCACAGGGCCTTGTCTGTTTCAGGTGGTTTGTCTCCAGCAGTGACAGGAAGGGAATGCCAAATTAACACTGGGTAATAAATTCTGCAAAAGCCAATAAAACCAAAGCAGAGGGATAGAGGGGAACAACCGCAGCAACTGATTAAACATTTTTGTTGGCAGTCACACACACACGGCACATTTTCCAAGGTTTGCATCAAGGAGACATCTGGCCATGGCCCATGTGTTTGTGGGAGGGAATCCCTGCAAGCAGAGACTGCAGGCCAGGGAGGGAAGGACCCTCATAGGGGCACTAAGCTGGGGAGCAGGCACTCTGCTCTGGGAGGCCAGGCCCTCAAGGACAATGGTCTCGGTGAGCTGGTTGGGACACTTCCCAGGAAGGCAGTGTTGGGATCTGCCCCCACAGTCTGAGCCTCAGGCCCAGGCTTGCTGGCCAACTCCATGGGCTGCAGGAGCCGAGGAGGCCTGGGGAAGAGAATGTTCTCTGCTTGGAATGCCTGCTGCCCAGACTCACACCCCGCACCCAGACTCAGGATTCTGGACTTGAGGCTCGAGGCCCAGCCCTCCCGATTTGGGGGGAGAGAGAGAGAGCAGAGCCATCAGATAGGCCAGAGCTGGCCCACAGGAAGACCCGGGCCTCTTGACTCCTTGGTTCCCTGCTCACGCCACAACCTACGCTCTATCTCTGCCCTGGCCGTTCCTCCCCCTCAGCATCCTTTCTCCCTTCAAGGCCCCACTGTGCTCTGGGACCCACAGTCCCCTGTACCTGCAGTGTAGCAGTTCACGTGAGCTCTGTGTGCACGTGCGTTCCCAATAGGCCCTGTGCCTCACTCATTTCTGTCTCCCTCCGACCCCATTTGCTGCACCGCACCAAAAGGCTCCACTGGGGCTCTGCATGGTCTCATGCGTAGCTATGGCGGGGGGGGCAGGGGCACAGGGTGGAGTGGGACAATGGCCCACTTGGGCCATCCTCAGCATTGTTAGGAGGAGCTGGTTTTCCACATGAAACTCTCCCATCCTTCAATGACCACCAACAGCCCATGGGATAAAGCCCAGCCTTCTCAGTCCTGCTGGGAGGCCCTGGCTGCAGCAGCCCCAGGCCAATGCCCCCCCAAATGCAGGCCAGAGTATCCCTGTGCCAGCCCGGGAACTGCTCAGAGGAAGTGGCACTCACCCCCATGTAAAAATAGAGTGTGCTGGGATCTGGGTTTCCCAAACATTTCTGTGCCCACACTGGGCTGCTCAGCTCCTACACTAAAACTCAGCAGCCGGGGAGCCTCTAGTTAGCTCTTTCCTCTCACTTTGCAGATGGAAATATAGACATGGTCTTTATCAGCCCATTCCAGCAACACTGAAGGACAGCCACGCTCCCTGACCCACCACTCCAGAAATATACTCCTTTGCTCACATTGAGGGGGCGCATCTCTCAGCCTAGTCAGACCCTGTGTCCCCTGCAGGACCAGGTCAAGTCTACCGCCCAGCCCTGTGACCCCATCTTCTCTGCCCTCTGCATGCCTCAGCCCTGAGGGTCAGGTGGACTGTGGGCCCAGGCTCCCCACCTCCAGGCTCCCTGGCTTCAGCCTGGCCTTCTACCTGCTCCTTACTGGCCATACCAGCCATTCGCTGTCCCTCAACTATGTCACACTTGGTCTCACCTTCACAAACGTCATCATCCACCCCTCACCTGGACAATACCAGCTCATCCTCTGAAATTCCACTCAGGTGTTACCTGTTTGGGCCAAACCTCCCTGGCTGGGCCGACAGCTGTTCCTCCATGTATCTGTGGGCCCCCCCACCCCCGCCCCGTGCCACCTCCCAGCACAGAACTCGGCTCCCCATATCGCATCTCTTTCTTTGCAGCCTCAAGGGCTAGCAGAGGGCCTGATACCAGGAGATATTTACAGAAGCAAAGCTTGCTTTTCTCAGAACAGGAGATTCCCTAAAGAGGAGGTTAGAGGGCCCGAGTCTTTACCTACCTCTGAGAAGAACACGGATAGAATGACCAGACTGATCCAGTGAATGACGCCAGCAAACTGGAATGCGCTGGAAACTGCAACAAATAAGGGCCAATTTTAGGAGCAAGGAATTAGGTGCACTGCTAGAAAGGGCTTCGTAGCATCAAGGCAGACCTCTGGGACCCCAGAGCCTGCTCACACGAACATTTAGACCTGGTGGAAATCAGGTCGGAGAACAAGGGCAGCTTTAAGTGGTGTCTGCGATGGAGACGGCAGGAGGTCTGTGGGCCAGCGCTGCTGTTCTCCTTTCCTCCAGCCCCAGGGGGCCGCCTCCTTCTCCCCCACCGGCTGCCTCTCTGAGCTCCTGCTTCGTCCTTGGTGGGCTTTGTGCTGTTGCCAGTCTCCAGGAGAGGAGCTCTCCGGAGGGGCTTATGAAGACCTCGTGGCTTTCAGGCCTGGGTAGACAGCGCCAGTGCAGTCTGGACGGGCTTTCAGAAATCCACACCACAATTCACCCCAAAGTGCTGTGTATGGTTAGTGGGACTCAGGGTGAGCTTACACTGACTTTTCATCCTGAAAACTCTGAGCGGCAGAGATGGTGGTGTCGGCCACGGTGTTTCGGAAAGAAGGCTGGAGCAATGACTGGGAGAGGGGGCTGGATATGGGGAGGGGGTCTCAGCCTCCCCACCCAAAAGTGGCAGAGCCGGTGGGCTGGGGTCTGCTAAACTTCCAAGTTGCTCCACTTGCCTTCCAGGTGAGTGGGGACAGCTGTCAGCCACTGAACACCTCCACACCATCTTCTACCAGTCAATCCTTGGAGTTAAGACACTATCTTGGGAAGCTCTTTTAAAATACAGGAAGCCACGACCAGCTTCCAAACCCTAGCATGGCATCATTTATCAACTGTGAGGCCAAGGGCAGGGTGCTGGGGCTCCGGACAAGGGTCGGGTGATCTCTGATGGAGAGTGGGTGGGAGGGATGCTCCCCAGGGGGTAGGCCTAAAAGAGATACTGGCAGACACCCTGGGACTGGCCTGCATGGCACCCTGTTCAGAATCCTCTGGGGGCCAGAGGGAAATACCCAGTGCCTTGGGCAGGGGGGGTAGGTGGGTGGGGGCTGGCCTGAAAGAGAGTAACCCACAGCCTCTCCCGATGCTCTGGAATCTGCAAACCCTGGGGGTAAAACCAGGTCATAGAGCACATCTGAGGGGAAGAGGCTGCAATACCAGGTTCCAGGTGGGAGACTCTGAGGTCTCCTGGCTTTGGGCCAACATGACCCTTAGAAGATGAGCCCCGGAGACCTCACGGATTCTTTACCATCCAAGGCCACGTGAATACCAGTGGGAACCAAGAGGCTGGGGCCCGTGCGACTCCGCAAAGACCTACAGATGATTCTGAAAACATAAAATCTCTCCCCATTATTTCTGAAATGAATTCCTGTGCCTTTTTTTACGGTTTGCTTTAGAAGAGCAATAAATCTTTGATTGTCCGTTTTATGGAATTTAAGATGCCTTTTATGAGCTGCTATTGGATCTCCCACCAAAATCAATCTCCCGGATACTTAATTTTAAGCAAAATTCCAGTGTCGGCTGGGCTCTCAGTTCTACTCAATGCCTTGTCACAACCTGAGCAGCCGAGGGCCCTGAGCACCCTCCATCACAGGGAGAGAGAGCCTCCGTTACGGGCAGGTCTCGTAAAACGCAGACAGTACGGATGAGTGGGAGGGAAAGTATACAACATGGTTTCATTGGAGACAGGTTGACTGTAAAACCAGGACCGGTCACTTTACGCTGGAAGATACTTTAATTGGAACCAAGGGGCCGCCAGGTGCGTAACATCCAACTAGGCTTACCAGGCAAAAGCTGTTCTGAGCTCACTGTCATCTTCTCCTAGAGAGCAGAGAAAGCTGATGTGACTTGGAGGGAGCTTTGACAGATCCTGAGTACAGAGGATCCAGAAAAGGAATCGGGGGCGTCTGAGAAAACGAGCCCAAGATGACCAAATGGGTCTGGGGACAGCCGAACCTACAGTCCTGGATTTTGCCAGTAGCAGGAAAGGAAATCTCTCCGGGGCCAATCATTTCACCGTTTTATCTGTACTTGAATGATCCACCTTCTGAATCAGGGACATATGGGGAACCAGGAGCTCTACTAGAAACCAATCACTCACCCAAAGCCAAGAGTCCAGACTCTGGTGCACCAAACAGAGGTCTGCAAGGGTGGGGGGTAGGAGCAGGCCCTCCACTCTGACAGTCATGCTGCCACGGGACATCCAGGACAGAAGAGAGAGCAGACAAGCCTCCTGCTGCCATATGCATCAGGCTCCCGTGAACGAGAAACTAGGACAAACGCCAGGAGGACCTACGGTGGGAAGAGAACTGGCCGACCAGTTTGAGTGATCTGGTGGCTTGGAGTCCCAGCTCCAATGCCTCTTCCTTAGGGCACATCTCTCACTTCTCCAAATCCTAATTTGCCCGTGAACGAGAAACTAGGACAAACGCCAGGAGGACCTACGGTGGGAAGAGAACTGGCCGACCAGTTTGAGTGATCTGGTGGCTTGAAGTCCCAGCTCCAATGCCTCTTCCTTAGGGCACATCTCTCACTTCTCCAAATCCTAATTTGCCTTGTGTATAAAATGGGGTCATATTAGTCTTACCCATCTCCTAGGATTGCTGTTAGGGTCAAATGTATGGAAAAGTGCTTTCGAAACTGTCACGGTATCTGTAAATAACACTGCAAACTTACAGCTGTATAAAAATGCAAGGAATCTTATCACCACTGTGGTTGCTGTCATTATTCGTTTCTACAGGGTGAAATGCCTCCATAAATGGGAATTTGCTTTAAGCTACGGAAAATTCCAAACTGAAAAATTCTAAATGGGAACAATAATTTAAAAAAAATGCATACAGGGGTCCCCAACTTTTTTTTTTTTTTATCTCATCAGTTTCCGATCATGGAATGCTGGGGAGGGGGACTGAAGAGGCCACATTGGGCAGAGAGGGGGAAACTGAGGCTGTGGGTGAGAGAGAGAGATGCTGCCAGATGCACTTCCTCTCCTGCAGTATTCCCCAGGAGCCACAGGGCCAGGGCGTGGCAGCGGCATCATCATTGGGCTGGGGGCAGATCACACTCTGCTGGTTGGGGACCCCTGGTGTGCAAATACACACTGAATATTGACATCATACGTATTTGCATATGTATCTCTCTTGCTACTCACACTGGAGAAGCTTTATATCTATTAGAAGTTCCAGAGTCAGGAGAATCACCACCAATATTACACAGGCTACCAGGAAACTGTTGAGACTTGCACTGAGCAAAAATACCTGCCACACGGCTGCTCTCTTCCCACAGCACGGCTTCAGCCAGTGAGACCTGTGGGGACAAAAGTGGGGAGAGGGGGCTGAGAGCAGGAGGGGACAAGGGGGGAGATCCCGGCCACGGCCCTGCTCTCAAACCCACCAGTGTCATTCTTCCTGGGCTCTACTTGGCTTTATGCTTCCCGAGAAAGCACAGCCTTCCTCCAGCGGCCACTGGGTAGAGCCACAGAGAGTAAAACGCCTCACTGAGAGATGGAGCTGGGTTTACGTGCTGACCACGGCAACTCGTGGCATCTCTCTGTACTTGTCTCCCCATCTTTAAGATGGCGTGACACCAACTTCTGGTAGGTTAGTAGAGTCTGCCTATGTGGAACTGCTACGTGACAATGAGCTGTTACTGTTATACTTCTGTGTATCTCAGAACCGAACACAGGCTCTGGCATTTAGGAGAATCTCAATTTGCCTTTAAGAAATGCTTGGGCCGGCCCGGTGGCGCACTCGGTGGAGTGTGGCGCTTGGGAGTGTGGCGGCGCTCCCGCCGAGGGTTCGGATCCCATATGGAGACTGGTCCGCTCACTGGTTGAGCGCGGTGTGGGCGCGACACCGAGGGTTGCGATCCCGTTACCGGTCACGAAAAAAGACAAAAAGGAAAAAAAAAAAAAAAAGAAATGCTCAATGAATTAGTGAGCAGATTTTCCATTTTTTAGCCATAAAAAGGAATATTTGAACTAGATTCCTGTTTTCAACGTAGGTTGTATGAAACATTGGTTCCACAGAATGTTAATACTGTTACATGATTTAAAAAGGTTTCCACGATTGAGTAAGTTTTGGAAAATTCAGGTCAAACAATGTTAAATGGATATTTTTCCTTGTGGGACACTTCAGTGACTTTATTGTGCTACTGCACAACACCATGCTCCGAAAAGGATTGCAGTATCGGTGTTTCCCAAACTTGTTGAGCCATGGCACCCCTTTGTCACAGAGCAACTGGCAGGACTAGCAGCATTTCATGGACTGTCTTTTGGGAAACCCCCGACTTGCACATTCAAAGACAGAGGTGAGACCACTGAGGACGGAATCTTTTCTGATTATGTTTGGAAGTGGGGAGGGGCCACAGACTCTCAGAGAGGGGTGGGTCCCTCAGGGCATCTGATCCACTCCCCCCAGAAACATGAGAGGGGGCATCTTTGAGGGGCATGGGGAGCACGGGGCTGGGGTGCTGAGATCAAACCTGCTGAGGAAGAATTAGGCACCCTGAAGTGACCGAGACAGCATCCGCTGGGAGTCCTGACTTCTGGCTCTGCCTTCAGCCACCCTGGGACCATGTGCAAAGGGACTTCACAACTCTGGGCCTCCACCTCCCCATTTGTAGAATGGGGATAATACTCCTTAACTCACAGGGTTACTGAAAGTTAAATGAGAGAATGTATCTGACCTGTAAAGCACATGTAGCTGAAATGGACTGATGATGACGATGACGATGATCATGATGATGATAAGATATCTGCTGTCCCAAACATCAGGCCATCACCCCCTGTCCTCCCAGGGGGAGCCAGTCTGCTGAAGCCTGCAGCGAGGAGGACAAGTGCCCACCTCCTGGAGATCCCCAGGGTGTCACGGGGCTGGGAGGGGGGCTCTACTCTGAGGTGCTCCCTTGTCCCTGAAGGAATAATGCAACTGCTTCGAGGTGGAGATTTCTTTCTCACAGTCCATCCAGGGAAAGCTTGAAGGAGGTCCCAGCTGTTGGAAGGCAGGACAAAGCTCAAAGATCTTCAAGAAACCTGGCAGGAAACTGGGTTTATTCAAGTCTTTCTGGATATTTTCTAGTACCTGTGGGAATGACATAGGTGCCCTGTCCTTGGCTCTATGAGGAATGAAAAGACAGGGGTTCAGTCCCCAGATTCAGAAGCTGGTCCCAAGAAGAGAGGTAGGAGGATTTCAACAGGTGATGGAGGAAGAGGAGGAGGTCACTTTGGAGGGGGGTGGGGGTTGATGTGAGCCCTGACATGGTCCAAGAGCATGGGATGAGGGATGAGGAAACCAGCCAGGTCAGCAGAGAGGGTTTCTCATTATGGGACAATCAGAAAACAGAAGAAGCCAGGTCAGTGTGGCCAGATTGTGAAGGCCCTTGATGAAAGCCTTCATTGCCTACTGCAGACAGATTTCGAAGCCCACTGCAGACACTTCCTCCCACTTTCTTGCAGGCTCGCATGGGCTGATCCACAAGCAAGAAGCTACGGGGTAAACCCCAAACTGAAACCATGTGGTGCTCAGTAGGGTTGCCAGATAAAACATAGGACATCCACTTAAACTTGAATTGCAGATTAAAAACCGAACAATTTTTTTTAGTATAAGTATGTCCCAAATATTGCATAGGATATAGTTATACTAAAAAATGATGTGTTGTCTCTTTGAAATCCAAATTTAACGGGGCATCGTCTATCCTTATTTGCTAAATCTGATAAAGTCAGAGCAGAGGGTTCTCGAGGAGGCCTGGTAAGGGCAGCTGTGATTTGGTCAGAGAAATGCACAAGAACCCTGGAACACAGGTGAGAAGCCAGGTGAGCCGACCCAAAGGAAAGCCCATGAGAACGCTGCCTGTCTCAGAGGGGCTGGAGGGAAGGCCCCGTGCTCAGGTGGACAGCCTCGTCACTGCCTGGCTGGAGGCCCACAGAAGCCTAAGGCTGCTGCCTACAGGAGTGATCAGCCGATTAGTGATTTTTGATATTAAAGACCCTCTGAATTTTAAGATATCTTTGGCTATCATTACTTGGCTGCCCTTCTCATCTCCTGATCCGTCCGTCGGTCTCACCTACCCACCCCCCCCACTACTTTTCCCACAACGTGACACGCCTGCCCGCCCTTCCCGCCCTATTTTCATCTTTCACACCTCTTGTCCCAAGTTCGCGCCCAGCCTCCATCCAAGCCGCCTCAGCACTTTTGGAAGTTTTCTTCTCCCCTCCTGCCGCACAGCTGCAAGCACTGTCTTTTCCAGGGCCCAAGGAAACCCAGCTCCAATTCCACATTTTCCCTAAAACCCAGTCCAATGTCTGTGGTCCCTAAAACTGATGCCATCTCACTGTCATTTGAAATTTGAGCCAAGCACCTTCTGGCAGTTATAAATGAAAAAGGCAGCTGTGCGGGCTGTCTGCCCGGGACGGTGTCCCGTCTGAGTGGCCAGCAGGAAGCCTCACCTTCAAGTTCCATGGAAGGAGCCGGAAAGGAACCTCTGCACCTTTGGTCACCTCCTGAGTATAGGGTGCACCCTTAAGAGAATGCTCCTTCTGCCCCAAGATGGGAATCCCAAAGGGCGAAGGGAATGAAACAAAGCATTTCATTCAGTATCAGAACAAGTATTGCTGTATATTCAGTTCCCCAGTAACAGGACACTCAAATCTCGACCTGCTTCCATGGAGGGAAAAGCCACTTCGTATTGCTATTTAAAATGTTAAAATGTTAAGGCTGGCTGGTTAGCTCACTTGGTTAGAGTCGTGGTGCTGATAACACCAAGCTCAAGTGTTTGGACCCCGGTACCCACCAGCTGCCAAAAAAAAAAAAAAAAAAAAAAAAAAAAAAACTGAATGTTGACTTTCCTTTTTTTTTTGTTGGAAAAATTTACTAGCCAGGCTGGAGGTGGTTACTGGAGTGGAGGGAGGCGGTAGGTGCCAAGTGTGGTGGGGCCAAGCCTGAGCATCGTAGCAGGGAAGAGAGGCAGGCAGGTGCTTGGAGTCCCCTGTGGTCTAAAGGTGGCTGATAGCGGGCCTGGCCCTGCTTCCAGTGCATACTCAGGGAAGGGCCAGGGAGAGGACCAGGCAGAAGGCACGATTCAGAAACAGGCAGGGGAAGATCTGGAAGCCAAGTGAATGCTGAACACCCACTAGTGCTCCATAGGCACTGATCAAAATAGGCAGACGCTAATTCAGTGAGTGTAGGGCAGGGCCGAAACTCTATTTCTAATCAGCTCCCAGTTGATGCTGACGCTGCTGGGCCACGGAGCCTGCTGAGTGTCATGGGGCCTGGAATGTGGTTCTCAGTCTTGACTGCACATTGGAACCACCTGAGGAGACTGCAAAACACAGAGGCCTGGGTCCATCCCAGAGGTTGTGGTTTAAGTGGTCTGGTGTGTGGCCTGGACACTGGGACTTTTAAAGTTCTCTTGCTGGTTCCTGGTGCAGCCTGGATTGGCAACTACCGACTGGATGCATACCCCACCCCCACCCCACCCCTCTCTGCCCCAGGCAGCCAGTCCTCACCTGCTCCTATAGCCCCTGGCTACCATGTTTCCTTGACCGGTGCTCTTCCCTCTGGCTGCTTCAGTTGAGTCCACCCCCATGCATATTGTCCTGGGGTCACAGGGGGAAGGGGTTCACATAAAGGGGGCCTGCACGAACCCACTCCCAGACCCCAGGTGATTTGGGTGAGAGCTGCTGTTTTAGGTGGTCTAGCAAGAGGTGACAGGTATCTCAGAAGGTGAACAGGGCACAGCAAAAGGAGTTTGGGAGCAGAAGAGAGGAGACAGTGAAGGCAAGTAGGGGCGACTAGCCCCAGGGGTGGGGAGCGCCAGCCCAGTATGAGCCAACCGTGAAGCAGACAGACTGTGTTTCTGTGGGTGAGGGTGCATCCAAATAGTCCTGGGGTTTGAGCTCCTATTCGAAGAGCAGAGACAGGGGTCAGGGCTGTACTACTGGTGTAGAACCACGGACCCCAGGGCTCCAGGACAGAGCCTTTGAGGGGTGGGGGGTTGGGAGGCTGGGCTGAAGCTGCAGACTTTCCAGCTGACTCTGTATCTGGAAATCCCAAGTTGCTAGTAAAATTTCTTCTGAAATTCAGATGACTCAGACATTCCTAGGAGAGTGTGTTTTAGCAGCAAAACAGAATGTGTCCAGTTTCAAAAGATCCCTGTTCCATCCCTTCATCATCCAGCCCTTCAAGGCACTGGGCCAGTTCAAGGTGGTGTTATCTCTGGAATCGCCACCAGAGGGCAGGCGTCTCCCAATTTCCTATCTAGGTGCAGCAACAGCGAGGGGACAGCTAGCTCCAGGGGGCTGGCTTAGC